TCTTCTTCTTCCTCCTTCTCTTCCTTTTCTACCCACTGAGTCCGATTGGTGCTGCCTGTATGGATGTGACTGCAGGGCACCATCCATCGAAACCTGGGCAACACACTGCAGGCCATACTGCTGAAGAAAGATGACTCTCCCTATCCCAGCATTCACCAACTGACAATAGCCCCTCAGATAGCAGGGGCCTCATGAGTCCCTTCTTCCTTCCTCTGGAGTGCTGACTAGGCTGATCTTAATGCAGCAACTATAGCTCCCGTGGACTCATGAGTGCTTTGGTCCCGTTATATCCAGGAGAAATCAGTCCACAGCAATCTTCCCTGACCTCTGGCTCTTAACATCTTTCCATCTTCTCTTCTGTGATGTTCCCTGAGCCTTGGGGGTAAGGAGTTGTGATATACATGCTGCATTTAGGAATGGGCATCCAACAGTCTTTTATTTTCTGTATTTGACTAGCTTTGAGACTTTGTGTTAACTGCCTCTGCATAAGAAATTTATCTGATGAAGAGTCTATGGATATAAGGATAAGTATTTAAGTTGGGTGATGGTAGTAGTACACGCCTTTAATCCTAGCACTCAGGAGGCAAAGTGGGTGGATCTCTGTGAGGTTATAGGGCAGCCTGCCTGGTCTACACAGTGAGTTTCAGGTCATCTAGGGCTACGTAGTAAGAATCTATCTTTAAAAAAGAACTAAAAAAGTTTAGTATTTATTTAAGAGACAGTTTGACACTATGACCCTTTAGCAAAATAACAGTGGTTGTAGGGCATTACTTCTTCTTAACTAAGTTTGCAGTGCCAGGCATGAGTTCCCTCCTCTGGAGTGTACCTTTAAGTACACTAAGCAGCCTAAGTTTAATTGAAAAGTTGTTGGCTACCTCTGTAATATTCATGCCACTATTCACAGGCTGGTCATTATTGCAGCTCCTAGGACTTGCAGCTTGGTAAGATTATTGATAGCTTTTCTCCCTCAGCAGTCTGAAAAGCACCTTCTGGTACCGTGAAGTTAGCTAGTAGGCAGGATACTTCCAGGTCAATACCACTTGATTTCCCCAGGTCCTATGATCAAAGTGTGGTGTCTTCAACAGTTGGGTCTTACCATCAAGTTCTGGTGGGTAACCAAGAACACTGACAGGCTCTTCTATCAGGCTATGCTCAAAGATCAGCTCATATATGGGGTCTTAAGTATAATTTCTGAATTAAGTAGCAGGGTTGGTGTGGTCTCCTTAGTGGTGCTGGCACAGAGAGTCTTGATTTGGGGGTCTAAGATAGTACATATTTATTCTTAGTAACTTAAAATTTATTTATTTATTTTATTGGTGTTTTGCTTGTATGTATGTTTGTGTGATGGAGTTGGGTCCCTTGGAACTGGTGTTACAGATAGTTGTGAGCTGCCATATGGTTGCTGGGAATTGAACTTGTGTTCTCTGGAAGAGCAGCCAGGGTTCTTAACCACGGAGCCATCTCTCCAGACCATTCATTAAGTTTTGTTTTTGTTTTTTGTTTTGAGATAGGGTTTCTTTGTGTAGCCCTAGCTGCTGTCCTAGAACTCGCTCTGTAGACTAAGCTGGCCTGGAACTCACAGAGATCCAACTTGCCTCTGCCTTCCGAGTGCTGGGATTAAAGGTGTGCACCAATTTTTCACATTGTTAACATTGTTTCTCTTTACAATTATGAATATTGCTTAAGAGGCATAGCAGTATTTATAGTATTGGGCAGCCCAGGCCCTGTTATTAAAATTACAGCTACTATCATATTGTGCTAAAGTCATAACAAATATTGAAATATTGTTTACACTCTTAGAAATCTTCTAGATTTGTGGTTCTCAACCTTCCTAATGCTGTAACCTTTTAATACAGTTTCTCATGTTGTGGTGACCTCAACCATAAAATTATTTTGTGGCTACTTCATAACAATAATTTTGCTACTATTACGAATTGTAATGTAAATATCCGATATGCAGAATATCTGATATTGACCCCTGTGAGAGGGTCGTTTGACCCCCAAAGGGGTTGCAACTCACAGGTTGAGAACCACTGTTCTAGACCAAATGCTTGCAATGAATTAAATGCTATATTTACAAAGCTGCCCTCGAACAGGGAAAGATGAATTACCTCCCCAAACCCAGGAGTTCCAGGCAGGAAGTCACTGAGATAGGTTTTCCTTGATCCCATCTCCATCACTGCCAGCAATGAGTGGCAGATCAGTCAGCCAACTAGCTGGTCCTGACTAGGCTTCTTTGAATCCTGTATTTCTACTGTTCTTTCAGAAGACACTTATTTTTCCTGAGACAAGAGGTCTCCTCTGGAAGGATAAGATTTCCTTCAAAGTGACATTTTCAGGGAGATAGCTAGAGTGTAGACTCCATTTCATACAAGGAAGAGTCCCCTTCAGGTCCAGCCAACTTCAGACATGTGAGTGTATAGACCTATTGCTGCCAGATTCTCAGATTTTTCAAGAAAAATGACCAAGCAAGGTTTTTGGGTAAACTATCCTTTTTGGCCATATGGCTCTATATTTCTGCATTAGCACTATGAAAATTCAACAAAGCACCTTTGCCCTAAAGAAACCTCATGAACCATTAGTGGCTGTCATGCCAGACAGTAGGATGGGTGCTGGCTCCTTTGTTATAATGCCAGAAATTTTGTGGGTTATTCAGGCATTTTCTGCTGTTTCCTGAGATTTCTATGTGAGGTGTAGGACAGGGAACATCTGTGATAAGTCTAAGCTGGACCAAGTATGGAAGTATGGCTCTGGGTTGAGGAGGTAAGGGACTTCAGGACAAGGTGGACACCACAGATATTGAAAGCCATTCCCCTCCTTTTTAGTCAATAGTCATGGTCCAGCAGCTCAGGGTGGCAGTGACCTAGGGCCAATCTCCCTTTCTTTTACCTAAACATAGGCTAACCATGGTCCCCACTGATGTTGCCAGATTGTGTGCTGTGGTAACAGAAGGTGACAACTGCTCAGTGTTTGTGGTTTCTTACCAAGAACAGACCTGGCACATGCTATGTTCTCAAGACCCTCCTATATCAAATGTTGAGCTGAGGCCCAGGGAAGAAAAATAAATACGTGAGCATTCCATATATGGGAGTCTTGGTCAGCTCAAGGTTGGGCTTCAGCTTTTGGCTAAGGTTGGCCTGGGTACATATCAAGTTTGCCTTAGCAAAGGAAGGCAACCAATTTACACACAGGGAAAAGGAGGCTGGCAGAAATCACACACACTAAGACACACACAGGTACCTTCAGCTGCTTTCTGTAATCTTTGAGGATTACAGTGAGATGACAGCCGAGAAGCCAATATCCAAGAATGCTCAGTGTGAGCCCAGAAAGACACACACTGGATGGACCAGGCCTGAGCAGAGCCTAGAGATATTTTAGCTAACTTGGTACTCATTTACAGCCCTGCTAGTTAGAGTTTATTTTTCCTACTTTACAGCTAAGAAAAGTGAATGTCAGAGAGGTTACAGTGACTTTCTCAGAGCTACAGGGTTTGGGAATGAGGATTATGGATTTGTCCTTGATTTCAAAGTCTGGACACTTTGCTCTCATCTAGAAGGAAGGAAGAGCAAGATTTCGTATCAGAGGATGTAACTTGTAGGTATTATTTGTTCCTTGTCTCTGATTGCCATTTTCCTCCTTGCATTTAAAAAATTGTAGTGAGATCCCTCTGTATATATCTATATCTCTATATTATAAGGTTTGCTGTTTTCGCCATTTTTAGTGGAAAATTCAGGACATTAAGTGCTCATGTTGTCATGCAACCATCACTGCTGGCATGCCTGGAAGTTGCCTATCATTCCCCAACTGAAACTCTGTACTCATCAACAGCAACTCCTTAGTCCCCACTCTATGGACCCCAGCAACCACTCCCCTACTTTCTGCCTCTAAGAATTTGCCTGTTTTTGATTATGCCTTGTGTGGTAGTTTGAATGAAAATGACCCCTATAGGTCCATAGAAAATGACACTATTAGGAAGTGTGTGTGGCCTTGTTGGAGGAAGTATGCCACTGGGGTTTGGCTTTGAGGTTTCAGAAGCTCAAGCCAGACCCAGTGTTACTTTCTATTCCTGTTCCCCGACAATCTGGATGTAGAGCTCTCAGCTACCTCTCCAGCACCATGTCTGCCTGAATGCTGCCACACCTCCCGACATGATGGCAATGAACTAAACTTGTGAATTGTAAGCCAGCCCCACTTAAATGCTTTCTTTTATAAGAGTTGATGTGGCCATGGTGTGTTTCAATAACTGTCACAGTAATAGAAACCCTAAGACGCCCTGTAAGTAGAACCACACAACTCTTTCCTTTTATGACTAGCTTGTTTCTTTGCATATCTGTTAGTTTTTGGTCAATATAAGATCAGTATATAAAAAGGTTTATAAATCCTCTCCATTCATAATAACATCACTGCTGTTATTTGGTTAAGTGTCCCCCAAGGTCCATGTGGTAACACCTTGGTCCCTAGCATGGTACTATTGATAGCTGGTAGAAAATTTAAATGATGAAACCTAGCTGGGAGATTTTTTTATAAATTCTGGAGATTTATAAGTTCTGGAGATTTCAATAGGAGGTGGAATGGTTTGCCCCCGTTGCTTAGGCTTATGGTAATACATTAATAGCTGTAACCATCAGTCTTTACTCCATCTGCCTGAGCCCCGCTGCCACATGGGCACCCAGAATAACACACAGAGTCTTATATTAGTTTACAATGCTGTTGGCCAATTGACTAGGATTTCTTATATGCTAGCTCAGTCTTAATTATGATCATAAATCTATATATTTTATAAGACTTATTGAGGATGCCTCCCGCTGGCGTCCTCTTCCTGGGATCACATGGCAGCTCCATAGAGAAGAGAGCAGGAGGAAGAGGAAGAGAAACACTTCCTCTTCTCTGCTTCTATTCTGAGTCTCTCTGCTATGTCATTTCCTGCCTGGATCACAAGACTTCTTTACTACATTTCCCAGAATCCTCCTTGACTCCTAGTCCCACCTATTTTGCTTTCCTATTGGCCAACAGTACTTTATTTATCAACCAATAAGAAACATACACACAGAAGGACTTCCCCATCAAATAGCAGAGTGAAATCTCTCACCCCATGACAGTAAAGCAGGAACTGGGATGTCACTAACATGTTCAAGGTCTCTACCTAATACCTTGAAGTCTAACAGCTAGGTTTCATCATTTAAATGTTCTACCAGCTATCAATAGTACCATGCTAGGGACCAAGGTGTAACCACATGGACCTTGGGGGACACTTAACCAAATAACAGCAGTGATGTTATTATGAATGGAGAAATCCAGAAAGTGCTTGGGTCTTGAGAGTAGAGTCCTCACAGCTGAGTTCAGTGCCCTAACAGAGGACTCTCCCGAGCATGACTAGACCCTTCCATGGGTCTATCAGGAAACAGGTGCTCAGCAAAGAGGGAATCTGCTCATGCCTTGATCTTAGACTTCCTAGCTTCCAGAGGAATGAGTTCCTGTTCAGTCATCTAAATGGACAAAGATAAAACTGATTCAGGTTATAGCATCCTATAACACATGCCAGTACTTTCTTCCTCTCTAAGGGTGAATGATATTCCATTATATGTATAAACCATATGTTGCTTACCCAATTGGCTGTCAATGGACACTTGGATTGTTTCCATATTTTGGCTGTTATGAATAATGCTATTATTTTATTTTACATGTGTTTGTGTGTGCCCAAATGTCAGAAAACAACTTTCGGGAGTTGTTTCTTTCCTTCCACCTTGTGGTTTATAGGAATTCAACTCAGGATATCAGACTTGATGACAAAGCCCATTACCTCCTGAGCCATCTTGCCAGTCCGATGGTGCTATTTTAAACACTAGTATACCATGACCATGGCAACTATTACAAAGTACTGCATTTAATTGGGGGCTTGGTAGTTTTAGAGGCTTAGTCCATTATCATCACAGAGGGGGTGGTGGAAAGCATCTTGTTGGTGAAGTAGCTGAGAGATCCATCCGATCCGCAAGCAGAGTGAAAGAGAGACTGGGTCCGTAATGGGCCTTTTGAAACTTAAGAGCCCATTCCCAAGTGACATACTTCCTCCAACAAGGCCACACCGCCCAATCCTTCTAATCCTTTCAAACAGCGCCACTCCCTGGTGACATTCAAAGTATTCGAATATATGAGCGTATGGGAGCCATTCTACTTTAAGACACCACAACATGATAATTGCTGAATCATATGGCGACCCAAAGTAACTTCTCAGCGGAGTCACCATTTTGTTTTCCACAGCAGCAATACCATTTTCATCACAGAGAAATTTGAGTATTTCCCACCTTGCCAACACTTATTTCCCCCGTACTTTCGCCCTTGCTGTCCTAAGGTGCAGAGCTTGGCATATTAAAGCTGCGTTGAGAGGAAGACCTTAAGATACAACAAAACCTCCCAGAACTGAAAAGTAATGAGACCCAATGAGAAGGTAGCAGGACCCAAATCAGGAAAGAGAAAATATTTCCCTCCAGCTCCTGCTCCAGCTTTCTGGGATCCGGATGATTGCCATCTGATCAAACTCAACACTCTCAAGTGTCTCCTAATGTGGGTCTTGGCCAAATCCCTTTAGTCTGTTGTGCTTGCAGAGATGCCCGCCGAGGGTGAGGGGCCGCAGCAGCTGTCCTAGTTTACCTGAGGACAGTGGCTGCATCCTGCCATGGGTGAGATGTGGAAGTGAAGGGAGGCGACAAAGGAGTCCGTCCTGCAGTTCATCAAGGCCTGGGAACTTGGATGCTGGATTTTCTTAACCGAATCAAAGAGGCAGTCCTTCCTTTCCCCCATTCCCTACAGCTCTAAAAATAGCTGTTCCCGGGCGCTGGGGATAGGCTCCGCCTCTGCTGTGGGTGGGAGGCACCGCAGACCCCGGGCCCTGAGCTACTGGCGTGGAGAGGCTGCAGGATGCCCGCACTCGGCTAGTAGTGTCCGCGTGACTGGCAGCATCCTCAGGCTGCACTGCAGGAGATGGGGTGAGTCTGGACCTGCGGGTGGGGTGAGTGAGGACATGGCACCTCCCCCATACCTCCAGTCCTCAGCTCCGGTGACCCCCTAGGGTGACCCAGGCCTCCCCGGAAAACTATGCCTGGAATCCAGCCGGGAGCCCGCGGGAAGGAGCGCGGTTCCAGGCGGAGCTACTCGGCCGCTGCGCGCGCAGGTTAAACATTAGTGGCTGGGTCACCGGGCCAGAAACCGAACTGCGTGGCCGAGGGTGCCTCACGAAGTCCTGTTCCCTGCTCCTCCATCCCAGCGGCCTCGGATTGTTCTGGACTGAGGTACCCTGCCGGCTAAGGACTCTCATGCTCCGGGAGGCGCGGAATAGGATGACTGACACCCAACTCACCCCCACCCCCCACCTCGCCTTCTTCGGGAGGAGGGTGGTCTAGGGAATGGAGTTTTTGAATACAATAAAGTGGATCTGAGGGGCTGACATCTGAGCTCTTAGAGAAGGCATTGGGGGTCGGTTTCTAACAAGATGATTTTTGAACAAACATTGGCATCTCTAGTTCCTCCGCTTCCGGTCCCGGGCTGAAGTTTAGCAGGAGCATTAGCGATCAGACGTCCACGGGAGACTGGGTAGGTACAGGGCAAGAGTGTACGAGGCAGGAGCAGAGGACAGGGCCTTTACAAAGGATCCTGAAGGGCCCAGGGCCTGTGCTGTCCTGGCCTTGTCTCCAGGAATTAGGCGAGGCCTAGTGGGTGTGAGATGTTCTAACCCTGCCTCTTCCAGCTGCCTGTGGGTAAGTGCTGTGTCTCCTGAGAAAGATGGTTACTACCTCCTCCTTCCTTCCCCAAGGTGTGTGGTCTGGCAGGGAAAACTAGCAAGCACCAAGCTCCTGGGGACATCTCCTTGCTGTGGTTTTAGATGCATGTTTCAGGTTGGGAGGAGAACCTCTTGTGCAACTGGGCTGAGGGTTCTGCCCTGGAGAGCCGAACTTTTTTCAGAAGGCTCATCCATCGTGAAGCCGAGAAGTTGAGTGCTTGGTAGGCAGTTCGGAATGTCCCATGGCCACTTTGCAGAAAGGGGCAGTTGCGGCCAACAAAGCTGACCAACCACTTGCCTCTTACCAGGTCTGCAAATTCTGGTGAGGGGTCCGGCCCAGACTAAAGATAGAGAGTCCTGTTAGGAAGCAACAACACCTTAATAGACAAGAAACACTGGTACAATCTGTCAGTTTTCTTCCAATGTGAAGCAGCTTTTGTTTGTTTTTGACACTTTATCATACCAGTACTATTCCTCTTCTCTGAGATACTACCAAGAGGCATTGGTTAAGGCTCCGCCTCCACTTTTAGGAAAAACAAACAAACAAAACAAAACAAAACAAAAACTTCTTTTGTGTATGTGACAAAAATTCACCATAAGCTTTTATAAATATTTTCCTTAATTCTTTGAGAATTTCCTGCGTATTTTCTGATCATACTCCCCCCCCTCCACCCTCACTTCCCCCTCCTTGGAGCTGGAGACATAGCTTGGTGGTAGAGTTCAGAGTTAGCAGTACAAGGCCCTGCATTGGGACCCCACCAGCACCCCACCCACACCAACAAGCGGTTAAGAGGAAATTGGTGTAAAGTTGCTGGGCAGAGGAGGCCAGCTACAAGGGAGATCTTGGTGCCTCTGGGAGTGAATCTCTCTTTTGCTGCTTGGAAGTTCTAAGAGTGCATGCAGCTCCTAGACTCCTTAATTTTTAAGAAACTTTAAGATCTAGACTGGGGTCTGTGAAAGTGTTCAGCAGTCCCAGATCCCACCCATTTCCATCAGGGCCTCCAGCACTCCCTTGCCTCTGGTGTGTGGAGAGCCTGTTTGCAAACTGTGGGAAGGTTTCCTTGGCAGCCATGACAATTAGCACTAATGACAAGCCTGGAGCTCCCTAGGGCAGGCACTGTGAAGTTAGCTTGGAAGCCAGGGCAAGTTTGTAAATGATTGCCTGCAGGCCCTGAGAAGTCTGGCCCTTCCCAAACTTTCCTCTTGGTTTCATTTTTGAGGAAGAAAAAGAGACAGTGAGATGTGTAGATGCAATTTAAATTAAAAAAGAATTAGATTTTTGGGCAATTTTGTGAATATTATCTTTGGCAGAAGAGCCATACAGCCTCCAGGATTTGTTTCCTCATGGGACCACTGACTTGGGAGGTAGTAAACACTGCCGCAGATTTTTTCCTCTCTCTCTCTCTCTCTCTCTCTCTCTCTCTCTCTCTCTCTCTCTCTTTCTTCCCATTGAGTGTGGAATTTCTGCAGGGGGAATTGAACATTCTCACATTGGAGCAAGCTTGAAATACTAGCATAAATCTTCACTTGGATCACTAGCTCTTGAGAGTGAAGTAGGATTGGGGAGTTTCCCGGAACCCCATCAAAACGTGTAGATACAGGTAACACAGCCTCAGATTTCCTAATGGTGGTGAATCACCTCTGCCTTGTGTTGCCGTTCCCAGATGTGGGAAAACAGTCTGCTGATAACTCAGTCTAGAGCAGGCCCGAGTCCCTGCCCCTGGGATGTGTGGTTTCTTGGTAACCAGCAGCATGCTCATGTGGCTTTGTCTTCTGCCTATCTTTACCAGGAAGCAGTCCTTGGAGTTGAGGTACATTGAGGATTTAAGGTCTCCAGCAGTGACCCTGTCATGATTTGCTGTGAACCCTGGCAGCTCTTCCATTCTACTCAAGGAATCTCAGGTACTATATTTCCACAATGAAAAACAATCTGTTGTATCATTTGTATGCCACCACTGCCATCTTTATTGGGAGGTCAGTTGGTGTAATTCAGATTTAGGTGCTTGATAAATAACAGCTGTAACCATCAGTTCACCATCTATATGAACTCCCACCTTTCTAGCCTACCGTTTGACGCTAGAACCCCCAGACTTACTCTCAGAGTCATAGGAGATAGGAGTGATACTTTTGGGGGTGCAGTAAAAACCTCATGAATTGAGAGTTCTATGCAAGCAAGTGGGGTCTCCCCTCAGTGTTTATGAAGTTTGCTTAGGGTGTGAAAAGAAAGGTTTGAGACACTAGGAGAGCAAGCTGTGAAGCCCTATCTTGACAGCCTAGCTGGGCACTGGGAGGGCTCACTGATGGGCCTGAGCCCACTCACAAAAGCCGTTAGTAGCCAATGGGATTAGTCTGTGCCTCCAGGTGGTCAGCAACTCTAACATTTCACTGTGACCTCATTTCTCTATAGTGAGGACAAATGAAATTGTCCTGTTGATACTAACACTTGGTGGTCCTAGCCTCATTTCCCCAGAACCCCAAGAACACAGAACTGTGAGGCAAACAGTTTAAGATCTTGGCAGTTTTGTTCAGTTTAATAGTCACCAGGAGATAGGTCAGAGACTGAGATGCAAGAGACAGGAATAAGGCAGGAGTAGACAGGAATTAGGCAATGTGCAACCCCTGAAAATCTTAGACTTGGGGAGCAGATGGGGAAGACGGGCACAGCAATGCCTTGGTGTGCACCCCTTCTTGGATCCTACTCTGGCACTTAGCACTCTCTAGGGTTAAGTTCTGCATATTTTCTTGTCTTTGGAGAATAAAACTCTGGAGCCAGACACTGTAATTAGGTGATTATGGGAAAATTGTGCCCTTCCTTATTCACTTTCTCAGTTTCTTCATCTGTGTAAATGGGTTGCTGTGAGAATTAAATGGGACAACCTATGTAAAACCTTAGAACTGTGTATGGAGTTCAGAGATGTTAGCTTTTCCCTTTCATTTTTTTCCCTCCCCACCTCCTCACTTCTCATTCCTTCATAAAGGCTGGAACCATTGTCTGGGGTCCCATCTATTCTGACTTTTGGTGCCTGGCCCTTTGCAAGGGCTTAGGAGTCATTTGCTGACTTGGACCAGAATGAGTGCTTAGTGCTCTGGGGTTGCAGAGCCTTGAAGCATGTGTTCATCTTGAGCAGGAACAGAAGGCAGTGGCCTAGGGTAATTTATCCTGAGGGGCTGCAGAAACAGTGGCTGAGAGCCCGCCCATGCGGGAGTTGAGCTGCTTGGGTTTGAATCTAGCGTCTGGACCTTTGACAAACGTCTTTCTTCTCTGTGACTCAGAATGCGATGGCAGCTCTTCAGGGATTGTTTTGCTTTTATACATTTATTCTATGTGTCCGAGTGTTTGCCTGCATGCATGTATGTTTACCACATGCTTACCCGATGCCTGCAGAGGCCAGAAGAGGTCTTCAGATTCCCTGGAACTGGAGTTATAGACAGTTGTGAGCTGTCATATGGGTGCTGTGAATTGAACCTGGGTCCTCAGCACAGTGGCCTTACGTAGGTGAACAGCGGGTGAATATCAGGGGCACCTGCACTCTGCCTCATTTGCTGAATGGTGAGGCCGGCAGGAGCGCTCAGGGAGAGTGGAGAGAGCTGGTGATGGAGAGCCTTATCATTAGAGAGAGGACTGTTGGCAAACACTGGGAGGCCAAAGCTTAAATAGTTAAAGAGTGAAGTTCTCAGGCTTGGGAGGACTGGAAGCGGTGTCCTGTTACCCTTGTGTATGCACAGCATACCTGGTAACCTGCTGTTGCTCAGAGGCACTACTTGTTGTGAGCCATCGTCTCCGAGGCTCTGGTGCCGAGGCTGCTGCTTGGAGCTAAGCATGGTGAGTACCATGCTACACAACTGTTTTGCTTGCACCCTGACATACCGAATGGGGTAGAAATATACTGGTCTTCTGGTGATCATGGTGGGATGCTTATGCCGGATAGTGGTGTTTTTGGAAGCATGTCTGAGAAATGAAACTGAAAAGCTAGGCTCAGGGCATCTTGTGTCCAGTCTGAGGATCAACTGAAGAGGCCTGCAGCCAGCACAGTGGCAGCAAGGAGCCACACTGAACCCCAAGGTAGGAAGCAGGGGTGTGGTTAATGCAGCACATACTACTCACAATGTTACCTGCTGGGCTCAGCCCAAATAGGTATACAGTAAACAAGAGGAGACTTTGTGAATGAATGAATGAATTAGAGGCTTCAAGGTGAGCCTCTAGTCAAAGTCAAACTTCAAGAGGCAAGCCTTACCACAGTTGAATAGCTCAACAAACTTTGGAGGGATGTGGACATTTATCTGTAGTTCAGCTCTGGTTTCTCTAGCTGGGGCAGACCATACACCCTGTCTAGACTCCAGTTTGGTTTGTGGAGTTGGCATAATGGTACTGTAGCTAAAGGGAGCAGGCAAAAGCACCTTGGCCTGGGCACTGCCATTTTGACTCCATTTTACCTCGAGGGTGAAATAAAGGTCAGGTTCCCAAGCCCCAGGGGAGCTGAGAACTTTCCAATGGATGAACACTTTCCTCCCTGAACTGTAGAAATAGTGAATATATGTCTTTAGCTCTCTAGAAACATTACGGCTGGTCCTAACAACAGAAAGAGCAAATGAATCTGATTGGTTGGGCTAAAAAGCTTGCACATTTGTCAGTTGACAATGATGGAACACACAAGGATCCCTCATCTTTGATTTCTGATTGGTGGAAATTGTAACTGTAACGTGGCAACAAATGTTTGTGAATTTTATGCTTATAAACCCACACTTCTGTCCCTATTCCGGACTGTCAGGAGAAACAAGGCTCCCAAGTCCTGGTCCTGCAGCCTGATTGATCAGTGACCTGCTTATGTGGTGATTTATTAAAATCTTTGGAACCTATAAGTGTTGTCTCTCTCCTTCCTCATGGTGCATAATGGGCTAGGTGTTACCTATCTATTTGTAGATTCATGCTTAGAGATTGCATGAAACATGCTGGTGTTAACTCTGAGTCATGTGTCCCCTCCACCCCCTTGTCATAGTCCCTGGGAAGCAGGTGGAGCTGGCCTGGCCATTGTCACTGTCTTTTCCAGAGGAAGGCAGTTCAGAAAGGGACAGGGACTTTCCTAGAGCCCCTTCTCTGCCCATCTGGTCCCACTTTTTTTCTTTCTTGAGTTTTGTGACCTTTTGTGTTGTTACTTTTCTCATTGTTTTAACAAATGCCTGATGGAAACAATTGAAGGAAACAATTGGGTCTCTTTTGGCTTTCATTGTAGTGGGGGTGGGCGGGGCAGTAGGGGTGTGAGATGGCTAACCATAGCTCCCACAGACTGGAAGCAGAAAATGTTGCCTTATTCAGTCTGGGACTCCAGGCCAGGGGACGGACCCATATCTAGGGTGGGGTTTCCCTCCCAGGTTAATACTCTCTGGAAACGCCAGATAGACAAGCTGAGAGGTATGTCTCCTAGGTGACTCCAAACTCAGTAAAGCTGACAAGAAACATAAACTAAGACACTTTTCTTGGGTTGCATTTCAATAACTGGATCACATAGGCTGGAAAGAATTCGATAAATGGGGAAGTGTGTACCTTTTCTCATCTTAGACTCTTAGTCTGCAATGGCAGATCTCTCTCTCTCTCTCTCTCTCTCTCTCTCTCTATATATATATATATATATATATATATATGTACATATATATATATATTTAGTTCAAAAAATAATAGGTGATGGTGGGAAGAACTTTGAATAGCATAGAGAGGTGGAAACTAAAAAAATAAAAGTCTTGCAGCCACTTTCATTTCCTACAGGTAGTCAGTTCCAATAGCTTTTGGCTGTTTTAGAAAATCTGCACTTATGAAATCAGGCATGTAAGTGAATCATGTGACTAGCAAGTGTGCACTTTTTTCATAATCAGAACAGGTGTAAATCACTCCAGTGAACACTGTGTGAGGCTTGTCCAACTATCTAACCATCCATCTATCCATTTATTTATCCCATGGTCTCATTGCTGTCTCTCATAGACAACCACCCCAATGAGATCTATATCTATGTGATTTTTAAGTTATTATTAAATGTGGTTATATTAATATTAAACCAGAAATACAGGTATACATGTATGTGTGCATATGTGTACATATGAAGTCATTATTCTCTACTGGTATAAAAACTGTCTTGCTCTTACAAGTATTTTGTTGTGTAGAAATAGCAATTGTATCCCATATTGTACTTGCCTTTCTTCCTTTCTTCCTTCCTTCCTTTCTTTCATTCTCTCTCTTTCTTTTCCCTTTCTTTCTTTCTTTCTTTCTTTCTTTTTTTTTGAGACAAGGTTTCTCTCTATAGCCTTGGCTGTCCTGGAACTTAATTTGTACACCAGGCTGGCCTTGAACACACAGAGATCCACCTGCCTCTGCCTCCCGAGTGCTGAGATTAAAGGTGTGCACCACCACGGCCTGCTGTACTTTGCTTTCTTATATATTTTCTTGTACATTAGTTTTACAACTTATATTGCAATGTCAATTTTTTCATAGGCATCTTTGTGCAGGTGAGTTTGTTTATAGGGCAAATTATAATTCACTTTTTTTTTGTTTTTTTCGAGACAGGGTTTCTCTGTATAATTCACCTTTTTATTAAGAGAGAGAGAGAGAGAGAGAGAGAGAGAGTGTGTGTGTGTGTGTGTGTGTGTGTGTGTGTGTGTGTGTGGTAATAAAACTCAAGGCTTTTTGCATGCAAGGTAAGTGCTCTACCACTGAGCTACAGCCCCAGGCTTCTGCCTCTCTTGATTATTTTTTCGACAGTTACCCAGGCTGGCCTTTAACTTATTCTGTAGTACAGGCAGGTCTTGAACTCCTGATCCTTCTGACTCAACCTTCTGAATATCTGGGATTATAAGTGCTCATGTACCAGGCCTGTCTCTCTTCAGTGGTGGAGATCAAATCCAGGGTTTTATGAATGCTAGGTAGATATTCTACTACTGAACTGCATTCCAGCCATAGTTATAATAATAATGATGTTAATAATAATAATAACAATAATAATTCTCTTCCTTCTCCTTCTTGGTTTATTGAGGCAGGGTATTGTTGAGGTATAGCCCTGGCTATCCTGGAATGCCCTCCATAGACCAGGCTGGCCTGGTACTCAGAGATCCACCAGCCTGTCTCCCAAGTGCTGGGATTAATGGTGTGCACCACCATCGCCTGGCTTCTAATTGTTAGTAGTAGTATATTAAATTTAAATTCCCACTGATATTGTCAAAGTACTGTTGAAAAAACAGAAATTATATGCCTACTGTCTTAGTTTGGGTTTCTACTGCTGTAATAAAACACCATAATCAGAACAAAAACTTGTTGGAGAAAAGGGTTTATTTCAGCTTACAACTCTCAGGTCACATGCCATTATGAAAAGTAAGTCACTAAATGAAGTCAGTTCCTCAAGGCAGGAACCTCGAGGCAGGAACTGGAGCAGGAGCCGTGGAAGAACACTGCTTACTGGCTTGCTCTGTGGCTTGCTCCGTTTGTTTTCTTGTACACTCCAGGACCTCATGGCCAGCAGCAGCACCACCCACAGTGGGTTGGACCCTTCCACATCAATCATCAATTAAGAAAACGTCCCACTGCTTGCCAACAGCTTGACCTTATGGAGATATTTTCTCAATTGTGTTTCCTAACTCCAGATGATTGTAGCAACTTGTAGCTTGTGGCAACTTGACAAAAAGCTATCAAGCATACCTACCAAAAGCACAGGAAATAGAATCCCTGTCTTTTGGGGAAAAAAAAAAAAAAGAGCAAAGCTCTTTTCTCTAACTGGTTAATGGGCTTGAAGTGAAGGTCAACATTAGGGCATGCCTAAGGCCCTGTGTGTAATGCTCAATGCAGGGGGAAAAAAGCAGCAAATAAGCAAACAGGCCCATCATAGACTGAGCACAATTTGTGCAGAGACATAGCAGCTTTCCTAAGGCCCTCTAGGGGCTGGGCTGGACTTTATTTCACTTAGTTACATGATCACACTTTACTGCAGGAGAAACTGGGAAATGTAGTCCAGACATGTTCTACTAGAATTCGGTATGGCACTGCTGTGGTCATTAGGTCGCTCTGCCATTCTGGGAGAGTTGTTTAACTTTATTCTAAACAACTGTAGTGTTGCAGAAAAACCCACTTGCACACTTGACAAAATTCATTGCCAGGCACTACTGCAGTGGGTCTGTAGGGGTTCCTGAGGGCCCCACCATGTGCCAGGCACTAGGTTGGGTGTGTCACTGACCTCCTTCCTCACCACATTCCTTCCAAGTGGGTTCCCTGCTCCTGCACAGACACAGGAGGTTTAAGAGGAAGAGGCTTGCCCAAGGCAGAGGATTTGGATACATATCTGTGCAGTGGAAGGCCCACCTATCCTTCTCACTCCGTTGCCATGTCAACACAGTCAGGGCATTGTATTGAGTAGCTCTTACATAGACAACTTACTGTACCCCACTTTAAGACTTTGCTGAGCAGGTATATGGAAGATACAGCCGTTCCAACTTGTCTGACTTGGACTCTTCCATTTTCCAGGTCGTCTTTCAGCTCCTTGGCCAGTGGCCTTGGTGGCACTCTACCCCCGTGGTCAGCCCAGAGCCTCTCCTGCCCATGCAGTACCCAGCAGCCACTGTTGAGGGCCTCAGTGGCCCGCTGTCTGGGGCTTACACACTCCCCACCTTCAAGTTCCAGCCTCGTCGTGAGAGCATAGACTGGAGGCGTATCAGCGCTGTGGACGTGGACCGTGTGGCCCGGGAGCTGGACGTAGCCACTCTGCAAGAGAACATTGCTGGTGTCACCTTCTGTAACTTGGATCGAGAGGTGTGCAACCACTGTAGGCAGCCTGTGGACCCCGTGCTGCTCAAGGTGCTGCGCCTGGCACAGCTCATCATCGAGTATCTGCTTCACTGCCAGGATTGCCTGAGTGCCAGTGTGGCGCAGCTGGAAGCACGGCTGCAGGCCAGCCTGGGCCAGCAGCAGCGTGGCCAGCAGGAGCTGGGGCGCCAGGCCGATGAGCTCAAGGGTGTTCGGGAGGAAAGCCGGCGCCGGCGAAAGATGATCAGCACCCTGCAGCAGCTGCTTCTGCAGACGGGCGCCCACAACTACCACACGGTGAGGATTCTTTGCGGAGGGGAACCTGAGCTGTGTACCTTAGGCACCAGGACAGGTTATTGGTACTGCCTTGGGCCACGAGACTACTGGAGGCCATTGTTACCAGTTATGAGCAGGTTTTAGAGATGACATTCTGAGAGTCTGAGGATTCCTGTTGTGTTCTATGCCATATAAGTGTAGAATGGGTATGGAGAGATGAGTGTACAGGGTTATGTATACAGAGTACTCCTGTGCATGGAAAAGATGAATGTGTAGTGTGTGAAGGTGTGACTATATGAGGTTTGTATCTGTGCATGTGAGTGTGTTAAATGATTGAAGCTATGATATCTGTGTCCGTAGAATATGTGTTGTATAATGTGTGCTTGTACTGACTTACCACAGGGGACATGGCCGAGAAGTCTAATATAAAGATGGTATTTATGATGTGTGTGTCTTTGATGGGGGGGTATGTAAATGTCTGTATATGTAGAGACTATATGTAAGGATGTATATGTGAATGAATGAAGCATAAGTAGTATATGTGTCTAAGGATGTATTTATGGAAAGTAGATGTGTTTATACGTGTCCAAGGATGGAGAGTTTGAATGTATGCAGAGTGAGCCAGATAAAGGCATGCATGAGTGCATGGATGCGTGTGGATGTTGACTAAGTGTGCGGCAAGGCATAGCGGAGGCAGTCTCATTTTAGAAAAATTATTTCATAATTTAAATGGCTAATAATTCATAACCAGCTCAGCACTTGAGGGTTTGAATCCACTGTACCAGAAACGTAGGTTGACATTAACCCTGGCCACAGGCAGACTCTAGAATGTAGTTACGGGTCTTGCTAGTTGAGGTTTTTCAGGAGATTCATAGTTTGGAGGCAAGGCTGTTACATTCCTCTTACAACTAGAGGTTTATTCTTGTTAAGTCTCTAGTAGGCAGAACGTGTCAGTGCATTTACTGCAAGTGACAGAGAGCTGCCTGGCTCTGCCTCCTGAGTACTCCAATTAAAGGTGTGTGTCACCAGGACTCAATAAAAAAAGTCACCTCTTAGAAATTGCAGATACCATTTCTGCTTACATATAATGACTAGAATTTAGTGACACGGTCACATTCGGTTGTAAGAGGGGCTGGGACATATAGTGGTTATTTTCACTGGCCTTGTATTCTACTAAAAATCAGGGCTCCTATTTTCCTTCCCTTCCCACCATTCTTTCCTTATTTATGCAGTGATGGGAATTGAACTCAGGGTCTCCCACACTCCCAACCCTTCAAGTTATTTCTGTTTCTGAAGCAGCCCTTGGGCCCTGTGGAGGCAGATTTTCAATACAGGGAAGTCCCATGTTTTCTGGGTGATCTAATCCAGCTTTTCCAATTGCTTCCCCTCTGTGTAGTGCCATTTGTGTGACAAGACATTCATGAATGCCACCTTTCTCCGAAGCCACATCCAGCGCAGGCATGCAGGCACGGCAGAAGTCGGTGAGTCCTGGCAGCATCTGGGAGCTGCTGTGCTAGGGTTTGGTGAGTGGGGCACAGACACATGAACCTGCTCTTTGAGCCTCCTAGAGATTCCATATGGAGCCCAGTACAGTTTTGTCTGTGCAGGGGACAAGAGGAACCAGACACATAGGCTTAGTTGTATCTTTTTCCTTTTCGTGACAGTGGTCAGCACTTTGCCTCTGAATTTTTGTACCCTTCACTGTGGCTGGAGCAGGCAGTGGCTCTGAATGGCCTTTAGTCTTCCTGCCCCATATGAAGCTCTCTGAGGCTGGTTGTGAATGTAAATGGGGCAAATGAGCAGTCAGACCAGTTCTTTGGCTGTTCTGTGTACTCGTGCTTATCGTGACTTAATCACTTTATTTAATTTTGCCATTTCAAATTCCAAAAGGAACTGCAAGGCTTTCTGCTGTTTTCATAAAGTGAGGGCAACAGAAGTATCTGTACAATAAAATAAACGTAATAGAATATAAAAACTTCATTAAGGGAAAGCATCGTTATTTCCCATCATTGCAATTCCCTTAAAAATAAAAAAAAGATTTTTAGAATTGAGAATAAAGCTCAGTAATATAGGACTTGCTTGTATGAGTGAAGTTCTAGATTCAGTCCTAGACACAAACACACACACACACACACACACACACACACTCAGAGAGAGAGAGAGAGAGAGAGAGAGAGAGAGAGAGAGAGGAGAGAACTTAAAGCAGTATCATTTAACTATGCACTTATATATCTCTTCATAGGTAGATATTGGGGAGTATTTAGGGAAAAAGTCTATGTCTTAAAATATTAGTTTCTTGTAAAAATATATATTTTTTCGAGACAGGGTTTCTCTGTGTAGCTTTGGAGCCTATCCTGGCACTCGCTCTGGAGACCAGGCTGGCCTCGAACTCACAGAGATCCACCTGCCTCTGCCTCCTGAGTGCTGGGATTAATGCTCGTATGCATAAAAATATGTCAAAATAACAACTGCCAGTGATAATGCCCACTATTTTTATCTATTTATTTTTTTCTCTCTTTTTATTATTATTAATTCAAGTTAGGGAACAGGCTTGTTTCACATGTACTTCCCCTCTCCCTCTCCCTCTCCCTCCCCTTACCCCCATTCCTTCTCCCCCACCTCCAACCTACCCCCCACCCCATCCACCCACCGTCCACCTCCGGAGGCTCCCAGGAGTGCAGGGGCCTCTCCGATGGCATCCATGATCAGGGGTATTTTTATTTTTCTTTCCTGTGTATCATCATGTAGCTAAGTTTCCGTATGCATGTATTTTTATGCACATATTTGCAAGCATATAAAAGTCCCTTTTGATTATTGCTTGAGAATATGCTACTTTTTTTTTTTTTTTTTTTTTTTTGAGACAGGGTTTCTGTATGTAGCCTTGGCTGTCCTGGAACTGTCCAGCTCTGTAGACCAAGCTGGCCTCAAACTCACAGAGATCCATCTGCTTCTGTCTCACAGGTGCTGGGATTAAAGGCATGAACCACCACTGCCTGGCTTTTGTTGTTGTTGTATAACTAGTTGGTCTTGAACTTGCTTAGTATAGCTAATGCTAGCCTTGAACTCCTGATCTTCCTGCCTCCATTTCCTGGATACTGGGATTGCAGATGTATGCTACCATGCCTGGCTTATGCAAAATAATGGGGATCAAAAGGAGGGCATTGTGTACACTAGGCAGGGCTCTGACATCCCTAAATGATCTTTGAAGACACAATTTTTAATGACAGGACAGAATTTCATGATGTGACCATCAGTTTCTTTTACATTGTCCTGCAGAATATATGGGTAACTTAAAAATCTTACTGTGTAGCACAGGGGTGTCAACATTCTCATATTTAAACCTTTTTATGTATCTTAAAAATCTTACTATGTAGCACGGGGGTGTCAACATTCTCATATGTAAACCTTTGTATGTATCTTTTAGAAGGAGAAGGAACGGTTCTTTTTCTATTTTAAGATTTATTTTTATTTACTTATGAGTATGTTTCTCTGTGTGTATGCCGTGTGTGTGTGTGTGTGTGTGTGTGTGTGTGTGTGTGTGCTTACAGAGGCCAGAAGAGGTCGTTAGATCCCTTATAGCTGGAGTTACAGACTGTTGTAAGCCACACAACATAGATCTTGGGAACAGAGCTCAGGTTGCCTGGAAGAGCAGCGGGTGCTCTTAATCACCTTTCCATCTCTCTTCCCAGCAATGGGAAATGTGCTCTTGAGGAAAGTTTTGCTGCCAGCGCTTCTAGTCTGCACTTACCCTTGATTACTTTATTAAACTGAAATCATTCTGCATTCTAAAATGGCTTGTTCCACCTGTTGGGTAGCATAGGCCTTTAATTCTAGCCACTTAAGAGGCTAAAGCAGGAGAATTGAAAGGTCTGCCTGGGCAACTTAGTGAGAGCTTGTCTTAAAATAAAAATGTTAAAATGGGGGTGCTGGTGGGGAAGCCCTAGCTCTTGCAGGGTGCTTGTCTAGAGTGCAGTACCTATTTCAAAGAAAAGGTGGCTTTTTTGCTTCTTTTAATTTATCTGAAAACATTTTTTAAAAGACTTAATCTTATGTATATGAATGTTTTGTCTGCATGTATATATGTGCATCACATGTGTGCCTGGCTCCCGCAGAGACCAGAAGAGGGCATCAGATCCCCAGGAACTGCAGCTACAGACAGTTGTGAGTCACGATGTGGGTGCTGGGAGTCCAACCTGGGTCCTATGGAAGAGAAGCTCAATGCTTTTAACCCCTGAGCCATCTCTCCAGACCCAAGGTTGACTTTTAATAAGAGTACTTGGTAATTTCTGTTTAAAAGCCACTAAATGTACCTTTACATTTCATTTTCTATCTGCTATTCTAATACAGTGTTTCTCAACCTGTGGATAGTAACCCCTTTTGGGCATTGACCTACCCTTTCACAGGGGTTGCCCAAGACCATTGGAAAACATAGATATATACATTACATTTCATACAATAGTAAAATTACAGTTATGAAGTAGTAACACAATAATTTATGGTTGGGGGTCACAGCATTAGAAAGGCCGAGAAGCACTCTTTAATAGTTGCATGTCCGTCTGTCATTACTGTCAAAATGCTTTAAAGTATAGTTCCTAAGGGCTCGCATTAATGGAACTGTCACGCCAGGCACTGTGCTAAGCACTTGGTGTTGTGACATTTCGTTCTGACGCTCCACTCTCCACTTGAGTGCTGTTCTAGTTCTGTTTTTGCGGTTTTGGGGAACCAGAGGGACAGTTGTCTGCTGAACTATGTGACAAAGCTGCTCTCAGATTGCAGAGGGAGGAATGCCCCATTGTTGCCTTTTCTCCTATCTTTGTGTGGACCCCAGGAAAGCAGAAGCAGGAGCAGTCACTGGGGGAGGTGCTGGAAGAGCTTCGCGCCAAGCTCCAGTGGACCCAGGGGGAGCTGGAGGCCCAGAGAGAAGCCGAGCGGCAGCGGCAGGTCCAGGTAGGCGTGCAGGGGAGAGGTGGGGAGGCTCTGGGTGCTGTACCCTGCCATGCACAAGACTCCCTTGGGGCCCAGATTCCCACTGATTTCCCTGAGCCAGAAGTCAGAGATAGAGGGCCACCTTCTCTGATGTGGGGCATGAGTATAGTTTGTCTGGAAAGGACCCGTGTGGCCGAAGGTGGAGCAGAGAGTCATGGTCATCTGCATAGCGATGCTGAAGGCATCGGAAAATGAGTCTTATCCTCAAGGGGATTTACAGTTTACATAGGACATGTTAGCAGTAGACCAGTTTGGGTCTAAACTACAGGGACTGAGGGTGGAGAGTTCTTTGGATCCCCATAGTGTTATACATGTCTAGGAGGTCTTAGTGGGTCCTCAGCAAATGTTTGCTACAATGTGAAAGTAATGATTAAATTGCTCTCTCTCTCTCTCTCTCTCTCTCTCTCTCTCGTAGGAAGTAGAGATGACTCGTCAGAGGGAAATAGAAGCTAAAAAAAAGTTTGATGAATGGAAAGAAAAAGAACGGAGCAAGCTGTATGGGGAAATAGACAAGTTGAAACAATTATTTTGGGATGAATTTAAAACCGTTGCCAACCAGAACTCCACGCTAGAAGAGGTACCCAACACAAAACGCTTTTCAAAATTATTTTGTTGTAAACCTGTTTATTTGTTCTTAAAATTAATTTGTGTGTGTGTGTGCAGGTTGGCTTGCTTATGCACACATATGTAGAGACCAGAAAAAAGGACATAAGATGTCTTACACCATCTTTCTGTATCTTCTTTTTTGGATTTATTTTTATTTGTGTGTGTGTGTGTGTGTGTGTGTGTGTGTGTGTGTGTGTGTGTGTATGTGTGAGTGTGTATGAGTGTGTGAGTGAGTGTGAGAGTGTGTGTGTGAGAGAGTGTATGTGTGAGTGTGTGTGTGAATGTGAGTGTGTGTGTGAGAGTGTATTGTGAATGTGTGTGTGTGTGAGTGTGTGTGTGTGTAAATGTGTGTGTGTGTGTGTGTGTGTGTGTGTGTATGTGTGAATGTGTGTGTGTGTGTGTGGTCTGTAATTATCAAGCCTTCCCGTCGCAGCTCTTCGCTGCTGGATGAGTGATGTTCCACGGAAGGCAAGTTGATGCTCCCTGTGTGGCCCTCTGCTCCCATCACTAGCTCTCCTCTCCCCGTTGTTCCCAATTTTAAATATTCCTAACCTGGTACTTCCCAGCATGTTGCCTGTTCAGTAGGGATTTATAAATAACTGTTGATTTGGATCAGAGGCCACTGTTCCGAAATCACCTCATCAAGGGCCCAAGGATTACTTTTGGCTAGGAAACCTGAGTTTCTGAAAATGAGGACAGGATCCTTTTTTAGCCAGGACTCCCTTTCTGGCTCAGAACATTCTTTTAACACCCTAGGATTGCATTTATTTTTTGTGTGTCTGAAGATTATTCATGTTGTGTTTTTATGTCTCCTATCTCCTTTATACATTTTATTATTCCATTTTATTAAAGTATAGGAACCAAATTGGATACAAGATTCTCAGTATTGTTTCATAATTATTTTGTCGATCCTTTTTTAAGTTTTGGGGGAAACAAGGTAAGATTCTACTTAGAAGTATTGGAAAAGTATTGTGAGATGGTCTTCAACATCCTGATATGAGGAGGGCCACTGAGAGCTAAGTGTCTTTTGAAAGTATTGCTCCTGGTACAGAGGTGTGAGCGCTCTGGCCATGTTGGCTGACTGCAGAGAGCACATTAGGATACATGGAGTAGACGCAGCTACATAGGGGATGTGTTAGCAGGAAAGACAGGGCGTGGAGGTCTCTAGTGCAGAGTCAACTGTGTGGTGTGCCACGGCAGTGACAGAGAAAGCAGAGGTGGCATATCTGACCCCCCACATTGTTCATGCCTCTGCCGAAGTATCTGCCAACGAAAATACTCACACTGGGAAATGATTAACGTTTTGTTCTGGTATTGTTTAAGCAGTGGCTGAGAAGAGTTATCAAGAACACCGAGTAAACGCAGGCTCAAAGATTCTTAAAGCTGTAATAAGGCTTATCATAGGTTATGTGTGGGAACAGGTATGGGCTTTGTTAGAGTAACATGGGTAGGTAGAAAGCCATTCTGTCTTTGATCCTGTTGTGCCTGCCTTCTTCTCTGGTCACAGTGCTAGCTCAAGAATGATTAGGTCAGTTGAGCTGACCCTGGTGGTGTGGGAATGGGTGAGCAGGCCTCAAGGGCGTGAGGGCAAGAGAACTGGCCTTGCTCCTTGCTGCCTGCTGCCGTGGGTGAATTAGCTGGGCAAGGCTGGAGAGCTTGTCCTGGTGCTGTCGATGAAGGAGAGCTGGCAGGCTGACCAACCCAGCTACCACCCAGGCCCAGAAGCAGGGCTATGAGTTAGCCTACCGCAATATCCATATCATCTGTGAATTGCTGGAGCATGTAAAGGGGAGGAGCTGCAGATCCAAAGCTGCAGGGTCTCCATGACACAGGGAAACAACAGGATCTCCGAGAGGATCCCCAGGGAGGGCCCAGTATCGAGTGTGTAGCAGAAGCCAGAGGCCTTGAATCAGACTAATGACTCATTGTAACGAACACTTACAAGTAAAGATGTAAGGACTGAAAGGTGGACTGTGTGACTCACCGTGTCACACGACAGCTTCCACACTGAGACCTTTTTTCTTTTCTATGTTAGTTTTGTTTTTATTTTATCTTGGGGGGGGAGGTTTTAAGGGAAGACGGCGACATAAAGGGATGGGGAGATAAATGGGATTGGGATGCATGATGTGAAATCCACAAAGAATCAAAAAAAAAAAGTAAAAAAATAATCACTAGGTATTAAGTGACATGGCTCTGATCATTGTGCAAAAAACAACTATTTCTGGTGACATCCGTGTGTGTGTGTGTGTGTGTGTGTGTGTGTGTGTGTGTGTGCGCGCGCGTGCACGCACAAGGGATCCTCAGGGCATGGCTTTCAGGGCCAGAGATTCTCATATGCGCCCTAAGCGTGGCTCTCTTCAGCTTAATCTAACCTCGGAAGAAACGGGCTAGCAGCTGGGCAGGTGGAGCTTGGGGTCAGAAGAGCCTCACTAAGACTGAAATAACACTTGAGTTTGTTTGTTCCATGGGTACTTGCTTCTGCTGTGCAGGGGCTTAGCCTTGGGAGATCCCTTAGTGAGGAGACTGTTGATTTGTGTGGATGTTTGTAGTATTTGCACATGTTGGTCTTGAAGGCAGACTGGACAGGCTCTTGATGGAGGTCACCCTTCTGGTCCTTGTATTGGGGTAAAGTAGACAGCCAGTGTCATGTCTAGGGCTTCTTCTAATGAAATGATTCTTGGCTTTTTCAGAAGCTGAAGGCGCTGCAGTCCTACAGTATGACCGAGTCCCACCTTGGGTCTCTGCGGGATGAGGAGTCAGAGGAGCGACTCAAGCAGGCCCAGGAGCTCCAGGCCCTTCGAGAGAAGATGGAAGTTCAGGTGGGCTGATGCTCCGCTGAATTTGGTTCCTGGGCAAGACTGGTGATATGTTTAATCATCGTATTTACCTGATATGTACAAATGTATGCAAACACAGGGGGCTCTTTTTGACCTCTTTGTCCCAACTTCTATTCTGACACAATTTAAAACAATTCAGAAAGTGTGAGGGTGTCCTGGGATGTGATATTTGTAACAAGTCTGTGGTGTGGTAGTTAATGCTTAGGTATCAGCTCAGAGCCAAAAACAAAACAAAACAAAACAAACAAACACAAAACTACAAAACCACTTGCCAGTGTCTGTGGTGTGCTGCGAGGTCACTGAACAGAGCTGGGAAGATTTGTACCCAGTCGACTCTGGCCACCACTGGGAGAACCTTACTCAAGTCTAGGCAGAGGATGTCAGTGTCATCTCTAAGGCCACAGCAGGTACAGTAAGCCACAGCCCAACATGAGCTCCTGTGTCCGCCCTCTAAGGTGGTTGAGAAAGAGCTAGAGTCATCTGCAGAAAGGTGCTGAAGCTGGCTGTCTGGTGTCTTTTAGAGTTTCTGTTTCTGTGAAGAGACATCATGACCATAACAGCTCTTATAAAGGAAAATATCTAATTGGGGTGGCTTATAGTTTCAGATGTTTAGTCCATTATGAGACCTCAAAGCCCACCCCCAATGATATATATACTTCCTGTAACAAGCCACACTTCCTAATAGTGCTACTCCCTATGGACCTATGGGGGCCGCCATTATTCAAACCACCACAGATGTTGTCCTAGTTTGCTGTCTGCTGCTGTGTCAAACACCATGACCAAAAGTATCATGGGGAGAAAAAAAAGTTCTTTGGCTTACACTTCCATGTTACAGTGGATCATCCAGGGAAATCAAGGCAGGGACCTAGAAGAGGAACACTGCTTACTGGCTTGCTCTCCGTGAGACTTGCTCCAGGACCACCCCACAATGACACTGCCCATAGTAGGCTGGGCCCTTCCATATCAATCACCAATTAAGAAAATGCCCCATAGGCTTGCCTACAGGCCAGTCTGGTGGGAACATTTTCTCCATTGAGGTTCACTCTTTCCAGGTGACTCTAGCTTGTGTTAAGTAGACAAACAAACAAGACACAAAGTGACCCAACATAGATGGTTCATGGATTTTTTTTTTTTTTTTTTTTTTTTTTTTTTTTCCTTTCCCAGACAGGGTTTCTCTGTGGCTTTGGAGGCTGTCCTGGAACTAGCTCTTGTAGACCAGGCTGGTCTCGAACTCACAGAGATCCGCCTGCCTCTGCCTCCTGAGTGCTGGGATTAAAGGAGTGTGCCACCACTGCCCGGTGGTTCATGGATTTTTTACATCATAAAAAAAATTATTGTTCCTGAGGAGATGGCTTGGTCAGTAAAGTGCTCTCAATACAAGCATGAGGGCCTTAGTTTAGATTCCCAATGCCCACATAAACACACCAGGAACAGCATGCTTCTAGAACCTCAGAGCTAGGGGACAGAGACAGGCAGATTCTGGGACTCATGGCTCACTGCTCAGTCTAGCTAATTGGTTTAGCAAGAGACCCTGTCTCAAAAATAAGATGGAGAGCGACACCTGGCCTCCACACACATGGCAAGCATACCTGTAAACACACATATACACACATATACACACATATCACTCTCTCTCTTACACACACACACACACACACACACACACACACAGCCTTTCTTTTCCTATGAACTTGATCTCTGTTCATGTTTTTCCCTTTCTTTTTTTTTTTGCCCCCTCTCCTTTCTTTCACTTTTTGAGACAGGGTCTCATGTAGCCTGTACTGACCTCTGCTTGCTGTGTGTCTGAGAAGGACCCTAACCTTGAACTCCTGACCTTTCTGCTTCCAGCTTTCAATTGCTGGAGTTACAGTCTTGCGCCACTGTGCTGGCCTTTTGCTTCTACTTGTGGAAATTTCCAACCTTTTTTTTTGTATTAATGCATTCTACATTTTAATAGTAATTTATATTTTTAATACAAAGGTAACACAGGTGTGTCTAACTTGCAACCCTTAGGGTAAATGAAATCCAGGAGAACTGTGATTGTGGCTTAACACATTTGTAAATTACTGGGTCACATTACAAATAGCAAAGGCTATTTGGACAACTTGAGTCTGACACAATCTCTAAATAGTATTGGATTCTTTGTATTAATATGAATAATTTATAATATCCTTGCTGTATGAACACAAAATTTATATAACCATATAAACATAAAATCTTATTTAAAATCTTTTAAAAAGATATACTTTTGCTAGTCATAATACATGTTTGTACAATGCTACACACAAGCTTGGTAACCACAAAAGCCAGGATGGAGAATCATATATCCTGGAACTAAAGTTAAGGACAGTCCGAGCTACTGTGAGGCTGTTGGGGACTGAACCGATGGGATTTGCAAGACCAGCAGATGCTCTTAATTTATGACCTGCCTCTTTGACCCCAAATCACAGTTTGTCTATGTTCTTTTTGGGAATTTCCAATCTTTTGTTGATCTAGTTGCGGCTGTTTTCCCCCAGTTTTCTACTCATCTTTCACCTTCGATTTATTGTTGTCTGGTCATAAAAGAGTAAAGTTTCTTTGGTAAAAGTTATCAAATGATCAGCTTTTTAAAAAGGAGTCATTTTCACTCTAATGTGTATGTATATGTCTCTGTACATATGCATACATGTGTGAAGGTGTCTGCAGGAGCTAGAAGAGGGTATTGGGTCCCCTGGGGCTGGAGTTGGAAGTTGCAAGCTCTCTGATATAGGTACTGGGAACTGAACTCAGGTTCTCTACAAGAACTGTGAGCTTCTCTTGAGTGCTGGATATCTCCTCAACCTCTCTTTCTATCCTTTATTGTTGCTCCCATTCTGAGATTTAAAAAAAAAAATATTCCTGTGTTTTCTTTGAGTGATTCTGTGGCCTTAATTATTACTATTATCATTTTGCTGTCTTGATTTTTATGTGTAATTATCTGATCTGCCTACAGTTTATTTTGACATCAAACAGTCATCCAAGTTTTATTTATTTACTTATTTATTTTTGGTCAACTGGCCATTTGTTCAAACACCGGTGGTCAATAATCCAAGCCCCCATTTTCTCTCCCACCAAGTTTCCATTTTCCTCCATATTGGTTCAGTTTCTGTATTCTGTTCTACTTGTCTTTCTGTCTAACAGTTATATGGTTTACATTTATTACTACCTAGAGGGTTCCATTTAAACAAGCTTCTACTCCTTTTCAGAAAACAGAATGGAAGAGAAAAATGAAGGCACTGCATGAAGAGCGGGCAGCTGAGAGGAGAGAGGTAGCCACTGTTGGATTTCCCAAGACCTCTCCCTGTGCAGCATCCCCTCCCCTTCCCACTCTCTCTACCTAGAACTGGTTGGCAGGTGTATTATTGCGGATATGGTTCATGGCTATCAGTCCCCTTTAACATACAAAGGAGGCCATCTGCCTACCCAGCAGATTCCTTAGCCAGGAGTGGAGACCCCTAGCCATGTTTTAAACCCCATGCATCTTGTACTAAGTGGTACCTGTTTCAGACTCTCTTGTGCTTTAAGACCCCTGAGTTATCAGTCTTATTGTTCATGTGAGGACTCTTTGAAAATCTCCACCAGGTAGATCACACCCCAGTGGTATTTCACAGGGAGTCTAGTGAAGGGCCCAGACACTGAACCCCCAGCACAGACAGCAGCAGTTCTCAGGACACAGCATATGCTTCTTAGTAGATGCCCACGAGGAGAAGGCAGGTTGAGGAGGAAGTTGGTTAACTTTCTCAGGTTCTGCTGGCCCACGGCCCAGAAGATGCCAAGAGCTTGGCCTATGAGGGACCCTTGCTCTCACTACATTGTAAGGTTAGCCAGTCCCCACGTGATGGTTTTATTTCATTTGTATTCTCTAGAGTTTCCTTATGCAAATCTTAATAAACAGCCTCATTTTCCCTCTGCTTTTATATCAGAGGCAGCATGGTAGCGCATTTTCTGCACTTCTTGTTTTTATCTGTAAAGACATTTGATGATTTTTGTGTGGGTTTTTTTTTTTTTTTTCTTACCTGCATGTCCTCAGTGGGTGACTAAATCTGACAGAGAACCTTCTTCCATGATCCTAGAGGCCTGTCCTCCATTTTCTCTTCTCATTTCTTCTCTGCCAGAGCTCAAAAATGTACCCAAACCAGAAGGCAGCTAGAATGGTTTGAAAGTCACCTGCACAGTCTAGAAATCAAGTCTGACCTCAGGCAAGACCCGCCACCAGCATTTGGCTGTAGGGACTGCTCTTCTCATCGGGGGTACTTGGGTCTCTGTAGACATCTGACTGACGAATCTTGCTGTGCCCACCAGATGCGGGAGGAGAATGAGAGGCTCCATGCCACCCTGTCTCAGGACCAGAAGAAGGCAGCTGCCCAGTCGCAACGCCACATCAATGCCCTCCGTGCCCAACTTCAAGAACAAGCCAAGCTTATCGCATCTCAAGAGGAGACGGTAGGTTGGTCCTTTCCCTAGTCATTGCCTGCAACCGCCAGGCCTCTTCTCTGTGAGGATGACTTTGGATCCTTCTGAGTTCATGCTGTTGGTCATTAGGTTCCTGAAGGGCAGTAAAGAGGGGTACAAGGTTATAAGGACAGTGAAGAGGGGTACAAGACTATAAGGCTATAGCCACCTCTTTCTAGGCAAACATCTCACTCTTTCACTGGAGACCTATAAGATGCCTGGTCTCAGCCTGGCACTTTGCATGTTACCCCATTGAAACCTCAAACTTCTTCAAGATAGACACCACTTACTCCCCACATTTACTTAATGGACGATGAAACAGGCTTACTCAAGTCTGCACAGGGTTTTCTATAAGTGGCGGGTGACTCTAGCTAGGGTGGTGGAAAACAGAGCTGTGCCCCTTAGAGTATATTCACAGATGTAACTTATTAGCCAGCCCTCTTTCCATAAAGGAACAGCTTCTGATAGGTTTTCTACTAAGCCAGCGGGATAAAAGTTGCTGTGTCTCTGAGTACGTCCTAAAGCTTGGTCCTGTGGCTTTTCACCAGTTCTTGGTAATTCTCCTCCACCCCAGCCTGTATTCAGCTCCCCTTTGGAAATCCAGGTCTGTGGGAAAGCTGCCCCTATCTCCTCCAAGTCTCACCTGGGGTCTCAGGTTCCTGTTTTCCACAGGAAAGCCCTGGAGTTATTGCCTCTGTCCAGGCCCTTCCTCCTGTCCTTGAGCCTCTTGTGGGTCACACTTTTCTGCTTTCTAGTCTCGTTATGCCAGTCACTGTATCCACCTGTCATGTGACAAACTGTTCCTGGGAGACATAGCATGCACGTTTACTCACCCCAGATAGGGACCCATGACAGACACCACTTCAGTACAGACACCACTGAAGTCCAACTTGGTGAACCAATGAGTTTTATCAGGGTTACTTGCAGAAGCAGAAATGACTCAGACAGCTGCATCACCATAGCCCACCCCAGCTTGGGTGACAGCTCATAAAAGCTGGGAACCTGGAGCACCCTGCACAGCCTCAGGCAGATCAGCAGGTTGAAGTGTCTTTTCTAAGAGACTCTGTTGGTCTAACCCTGTTCCAGGCCACCAGTCTGGTCTCAGCCTCATTGCAGCTTTTCTCCTCTTAGAGTCTTTGCAGGTCAGCCTGTTGGAGTCTCCTTTGTGGCTCACTTCATGAGAGGGCAACTCTCAGCCTTTATTTCTTACTCCATCAGGGAGGGGCCTAGTGAGTCTGGTCAGTTTCATGGACTTCCTGAAGCTCTTGTGAGTTGTTTACCTTCCTGCTTATGGAGCTTACTACACAGGATGGAATGTTTCAGTCCGAGGCAGCTGTTATAGGACACCACCTTGTCCCTTGCTCCCTGCAAACACTGGCCTCTTCACTGCTTGTCTTAGTTAGGGTTTCTACTGCAGTGAAGAGACACCATGACCATGGCAACTCTTTTTTTCTTTTTTTAAAGATTTTATTTATTTTTTATGTATACAACATTCTGCTTCCATGTATATCTGCACACCAGAAGAGGGCACCAGATCTCATAACAGATGGTTGTGAGTCACCATGTGGGTGCTGGGAATTGAACTCAGGATCTCTGGAAGAGCAGTCAGTGCTCTTAACCTCTGAGCCATCTCTCCAGCCCCCCCCCCTTTTTTAAGATTTTATTTATTTATTATGTATACATATGACAACTCTTATAAAGGAAAACGTTTAATTGGGCTGGCTTACAGTTTCAAAGATTCTGTCCATTATCATCATGGTGGAAAGCATGGCAGCATGCAGGCAGACATGGTGCTGGAGAAGGAGCTGAGAGTCTTACGTTTTGGTCCATAAGAGGCAGAAGGAGACTGTCACACTAGGCCTACCTTGAGCATATAAGACCTCAAAGCCCGCCTCCACAGTGACACACTTCCTCCAACAAGGCCACACCTCCTAATGTGCCACTCCCTATGGCCCAAGCATTCACACACATAGAATGGGCTATGGGAGCCATACCCGTTCAAACCTTCACACTGCTGTACGCCACCTCTGGTCCACTCTGGAAGTGTGCCTTCAGATCTATTTGCCAGTGTTTCATTGAGGAACCTGTTGGCTCAAGGTAAAGAATAAGTAGAAGCACTTTATGCTGATCATATACCCAAAGAGGCAATACTTCTGGCTGTGGTTAGCACCAGATTTACAACACTGAGATCCCAGACTTTGATTTAACTTTTACGTTCAGCCGTCATGGTTACAAGATAGCGTCATAGCCCCAATCATCACAGTCATATTTGATGAAAGTTGACGTAAAGACCCTTTCCCAAGACACTTCAAAAGAATTATTTATTCCGTGTGTGTGTGTGTGTGTGTGTGTGTGTGTGTGTGTGTGTGTGTGTGCATGTGTGATAGCGTGTGCACTTCAGCACACATGTGTAGCTCAGAGGGCAACCCTGTGAAGTTCATTCTGTCTTATACTTTAATTTGATTCACGAATCTAGTACTTCCCACCAGCAAGTGCCTTTATCCACTAAGCCATCTCACCAGCTCAAGACTTTGGAGACACACTGGTCAAAGCTGTGCCAGTGAGCAAATATAACTTTAAAGAAACTGGGAAAGAGCATTTTAAAGAAGGGTTCTTTCTTTTTTTTTTTAAGATTTTATTTTATGTGAATGGTGTTTTACTTGCATGTATGTATTGTCCCATGTGTTTGTGTGATGTCCTTAGAGGTCAGAAGAGGCGGGGGGGGGGGGATCCCGTGGAACTGGAATTATAGAAGACTGTGAGCCAGATGCTGCTGGGAACTGAACCCAGGTCCTTTGTAAGAGCCGCAAGTGCTCTTCACCGTTTCTTCCTGTCTCCAGCCCCACATAATCGGTTTTCCAGTCACTGGAGTAGAGATAGGTGAGGAGGTACAGTTGGGGGTCTGTATTGGATGAGAACTACAACAGTACATGATGCAGCAGGTGATGGAAACCCCAGTAAAAGCAGAGAGATGATATGCCACATAGACAAATGGTGTTTCACAGCCCAAGGCAGAGAAGCAGCTGAGTTTGATTGAAATCGTGCCGAGACTCAAGTGTGGGCAATAGTTTCCCAGCGTTTCTTTTTCTAAAAGTTTCTTTTATCCAGAAGCCAACTGATTCTTACTAGTTCCATGTGGCAAAACAGACAAACCAAGAAAACCTCAAACAGTTGGCTACTAGCATTCTTGACCCTTCGCTAGTTCAGAACTCTCCATCCAAACTTGGACAGGCAGCTGTGACTGTGGTCTGAGGTCATGTTGACGACTTTTGACTGCTCAGTCTGCAGCGTGTGAAAGAGGAAGGAAAAGGCCCTGTTGGGAAAGGGTTGCTGGGCAGATTTGCCAGTGGCTGGGTCAGGTCTCCAGACACGGATGCTGTCTTGCCTCTGTGTTCCCATGAGCCCTCAGCTCAGCTGTCTGCATCACTGGTGAGAATTTCTATCTTTTCCTGGCTGTCTTAGCATCAGTTTTATCTCCATGCCACCTGCAACTCTGTCCCATTCTGCTTCTGTGGGCCCTGAAGGAGTAGTCCTCTGAAGACAGTCATTCTGGTCTCCCATCCTTGAAAAGCTGAGCAGGCTGTCATCCAGGACTGCTAGCCACTACTCTTCCTTGGTGTGTTGTTTTTCCACACATTCATGGGGGGAGATGAGATGTGCTTGGGGCTGGGTAGTAAGCCATTCTAGTTCCTAGTGGGTGGCGTGACAACAGTGGCTGCCCTTTCCTCCCTATTCTGGGCAGGTCTGCTGCTCGGAGTAGAGTTCCTACAGTGTTCCCCTGCTGGCTGTAACCTGCTCTATCCCCCCTTTTTCAGATCCAGACATTGTCCCTCAGGAAGGTGGAGGGTAAGTCTGCAATGGGTGGTTAGGATCAGTCTTTGGGGTTGTCCTGGGCTCTTTGCCTTCCCATCCTCCAGGTGATTTATGGGAAGAAGACTGGTGACAGCAGTCTGGGGGACACACACTGTGGTGTCAGGCTGTCCAACTGAATAAGGAAGAGGGCTTATTGGGTAGAGGGCATTTGTGCTGAAGGCTTTCCATCGGTTGTCAGGGATTCATGCCTGGTTTGATTTTTCTCTAGTGGGAGGGAAGGGGTGAGGGTCTTGGATTTGGTGTTGATAGAACTGGGCCCTTGGGCAGTCTTTCTAATTCACCATGTTTGGGGCACGCCATTACTAACAACTGTGTGCCATGCCGAGTACTTCTGATTCATCCTTTCATTACCTTGTGATTTAATGTGGGGTGGGTATTGTTATTTCTCCACATATGGAAACTGAGGCTCAGTGAGGTTCAGAGACTTGTCAGCTCATGCACAGCCATTGGAGGCAGAGCTGGGTTGTGAGTCTGATGTCCCTGCCTCCAGTGTCTGGCTGGGACCGTTTTTTTCATCCTGCCCCTCTGGGAAAGATGAATCTATGGAGGGCTTGCCCTCACAGGCCAGTGCTCCCCTGGGATACTGCTCCTTTCTTTGAGTCAGGAGTGGGCTGCAGGGTTCTAGTGCCACTAATTGTTTCTTCTGTCTTCTTAGAAGTCCAAGAGGTGCCAAAGGCCGTGGACACAGAGGAGGACTCTTCTGAGGAAGGTGTGTCTTTCTCTGTCTCTGTCTCTCTCCTTCACTGCAGAAAGCAGGTTGGCTGCTCTCCTCACTTTTTATTTTCTCTTTAACTGTAATGAGGACACATGAAGCTGTGGTAGAAGGAACTAAGGGCACAAGATAAATATTTCTTAAGCACCGTCTGCATACCAGGAGTTTTATTTAAAGGCACTGATGTGCAGTCTGCAGGGTCACTGAGTCACAAGGCTACAGGAGGCAGAGCTGGTGTCTGCTGGGCTTCCGACTCAGGTCCTGCGTGCGCCTTGTGCCTGCCCCACTGCCTCTCACCCAGTGCTGGTGTGAGAAGTGGAGGAGGGCCCACTGCACTGGCTTTCAAATGCTCTCTGCTGCTCTGTTTTCCACGTGAATGAGCTGTAGGTGGCTACCTGATGGAGGACCTGAAGTAGTGAGACTGTCAAGTGGCAGTGGAAATGTGAATTGATGATCTTGTCTGCCTTTTAATCTGAATCGGAACAGAGCCGGATTCAGTGGTGGGAGAGTTGAGTGGTGGGAGAGAGTATCGGGTGGAGGCTGGGCTAAGGCTGGAGCCAGTCTGGAATCAGACCAGAGTGGAGCCCAGGAAACAAGCTGTTTCCAGGGTTTAATTCCAATTCCTAAAGCTATGAGTTGACCTCAGGACTGAGTGAGCCTAGATCTGGGGGGTGCAGGCTGGCAGGGGATGGTAATGTAGACGCTGGGTGGCGAGCCTGAGACAGTGACGTCCAGAAGGAAAATATCTCATCTTCTTACCCAGGGGTGGACATGTGGGGGTGGCTTGCTCTGGACTCACTCTGGGGACAGGGGTTACTGGCAGGGATAGTTGGGCTCTCAGGATCACTGGCAGGTACAGAGATGGTGGGCTCAGGGGGAGTACTGACCTTGTATACTGTCTCCTGCTGCAGAGCTGCAGAGCTCCCGTGGTGAGCAGTGGAAGGTGCTGGCATCTCTGAGGCAAAACCCCACTTGGCTGAAGCAGTTCCGGCCCATCCTGGAGGACACCCTGGAAGAGAGGCTGGAAGGCCTGGGGATAAAGAGGGTTGGTTCCTGGGCCGTTGCTGAGTCAGTCGTTTGTTTATATGTTTAAAGACAGGGTCTTGCTGTGCAGCTCAGGCTGACTTTGAACTCACACCAATCATCCTGCCTCAGCCGCCGGGGTGCTGGGCCTAATATAGTGTGTGCCACTACACCAGGATAAGGGGTACTGTTTTAAGGGATGAGACCTATAGTGAAGACAGAAAGTGTTCTCACCCAGGGAGGCGGTTGTTCGTTCTTTACCTTGTGGACTCATTTGTTTCTTCCTGTGCTCATTGCTATCTGGGGACAGCTTCTGTCACCTCTCGGCAGAAGAGAGGTCTCTGCTTTCCTCCAAGTCCCCATCCCGACCCTGTCAATGTTCTCCACTCACTGGTTACTTTTTTCCCCTGTGTTTCTAACCAAATCTCTGATAGAGGGCATTTAGCTGGCTGAGTTTTGTCTATGGGCCAGTCCTGTGTGCACAAATGTCTCTCTCTAAGTCCGCTATCTACGTATGGAACATGTGGCTGTTCCCAGATGTGCACAGATAGAGCCAGAAGGCATCTATTAGTAAATAAAGGTGCATTGTATTACCACAGTAGACAAGCATCATAGCTTTGAATACAATATTTGCATTTCAGTGAGTAAGATTAAAAAAAAAACAAAACAAACTCAGACAGCTAGGTTGAGTTTTGTAATGATGCTTATTGAGACTGGCCTGCCTTCAGCCTCTGCTTAATCCCATGTGGGTCCTGTGTTCAGTTTTGATTTAAAAATGTCTAATTTTGATAAACCTTCATCTTGGATTCAGATGCCTTCCAGACCATCTCCTGGCTTCTGAGTGGTTGGTAGGCAGAAGCCCAGGGGATTTCTAGTACCACACACTGGCTTTTGAAGTTCAGATTTCCAGGCCCTGTAGAACAGGGAGAACACGGGAATGCCCGGAGTTGTAAAACGAAGCAGGCCGTGCTCTCAGCCTGGGAATCCGGTTGATGTTGGGAAAGCCCACCCCATCCAAGTCTCTTATGGTGGGAAGTGGTTTGAATTGCGATGTCGCCCTTTGACTAATCTTATGTGATGGAGAGCCTAAATCCTGAATTTGCATTCTTTCTGCAATGTGTGAATCTGTTTCTCCACTTGACCCCCTCCAGCCAACAGGCTTTAGTCATAGTACCTCAGTGTCAGCAGCTGTAGGGAAAGGAGCAGGGAGCCTGTGTATGCAAAGGTGAACTTCTGTCTCCTCTAGAACACAAAGGGAATTTCGGCCAAGACTCTCCAACATCTGGAGTCCCTGCTGAGAACCCAAAGGGAGCAGACCGCCCGAAGCTTTCGTGAATTTCTGAGTCTGAGGGAGAAACTCAATAAGGAAGTGACCAGCAGAGTGAAGAAGAGATGGGAGAGTACAGGTGTGGTGTCCCAGCCTGACAGCCAGCCTCCAGGTAAGCAGGGCAAGCAGGCTTTGAGACCATGAGGGGAGGGTTCCATTCTGGCTATACTGCCCCTGCCTCCCATCGGGATGCTTTTCTGACCAATAGACCTTGTGAGATCCTCAAGGGTAAATGAGTCCAGAGGTCCTCTGTTGGAGAAACAGAGTCAGGGTGGAGTTGAGGTGAGACACTTGAAGGATGCCAAGGTCCCTTTGCATCCTTTCCCCAGTCGTGGACCTGCATGGCCAGAAGGATGTCAGTCCTGTCTCATATCCATCAGATCACGGTTGAGCTCTTCGTGCAAATAAAGTTTGCCAAATGCACCTTGCGTATCTCCAGAAGACATCAGAGATGATTTTAGTTGGTACATGGACCAATTATTTTACAACTTATTCTTTCTTGTCCTTCATATGAATTGGAGGGAAAATCCTAGCATACAACCATGTGAAATAATAGAATTATTTCTTGTATAAGTATAAAGCAGGTCTTTTATGTTAAAAGTGCAGTTGTTTAATGTAAAATGTTAAAGACATAACAGGACAGGCAGTATAAGAATGTGGTAACAATTGTGTGATTATCTGAGAAACTCTGTCCTAAGTCAACTTTCCTACCTTGACGTTTCTAAAGATAGGGCAGTTCCTGGTCTTGCAGACATCTCTTACAGACAGGTGGCTTTCCTGCCTGGGTCTGAACTTGTATTCCTTTGCTCATTTGCCCAAACGTCTCTTAGTATAGTATCTGCTTTGCCTGGCTTTGTACCAGGACCTGCCCTGTCACATGAGAAAGTAGGGAGGTCTGGGAGATGTGAGCCAGACAGACACAGGAGTGCTGGACACTCAGAGGGGGAGGAGGATGCAGGGAGGACTGAGAGATGTGAGCCAGACAGACACAGGAGTGCTGGACACTCAGAGGGGGAGGAGGATGCAGGGAGGACTGAGAGATGTGAGCCAGACAGACACAGGAGTGCTGGGCACTTGGGACAGGGAGGAGAGGGATTTGCATAGGAAGAATGAAAATGTCCTCAGACTTCTGGCTTTCAGGGGAAAGGAAGGGCATCTTGCTTCTTCTAGGTACCACTCTTCCCCCATTGCTGTCATCAGAAAGCCAGGGGAGACCCTCCCCTTCCCCATTCCCCTTCCCTAGCTTTCCAAGTCATAACTGAGATGAAAGATCCATTTTCACGATACTTTGTAGACCTTTCCTTCCTGCTCTGAGTTCTCATCTTCTCGTTCCCCACCAGCCTATTGCCGGTGCTCACCTTGTCTGCTTAGAGTCTAAGCAGTTTTCATCCTGTGGGCCGCGACCCCTTTGGGGGTGGAACTACCTTTCACAGGGGTTGCATTTATGGCATCCTGCATATGAGGTACTTATATTACGATTCATAACAGTAGCAAACTTACAGTTATGAAGTAGCAATGAGATAATTTTATGGTTGGGGGGGTCAGTGCAACACGAGGAACTGTATTAAAGGGTTGTGACATTAGGAAGGCCTCTGGCTTCGGAGCTTGCTGCGAGATGCAGTGGCAGAAGGACGGCCAGGTTTGCAACTGCTTGTTCCGTGGAGTTGAGGGCAAGTTCCTCCATAGCTCCGAGTCTCTGTAAAGCAGGAAAACGACACCACCTGAAGACCAGGACGGCGCTGGGGAAATGGTGGGCTGACAGATGTTTGCGAAGAGCTGTGCTTAGTGTCTGGCACACAGTAGCTGTAAGCTGCTCATATCTCCTCTCTGCAGGCTTGTTTTACCTTTTCATCTTTCTTCATCTTACCCCTTCCCACTTAGGAATAAACAAATTCTCTGAGATCGGTGTATCACAGACATTTTTGACCTTGAGCTACTGCAGTAAGAAACACTTCTCGATGAACTCAGTGCATACATGTTAAGTTTCATGGAAGCTCTTACTCTAGCTTCCTTCAGTTTGCTTTCCATGAATAAACATCACCGGGCCCCTGGGTTTCTAATGGAAAACAGGGGTGGTATCTAATTGCCCCTCTCGCCTGTGAATTAAAGCGCCCCCGGCAGCTCTTGGTAGTTATGTAGTCATGCAGCGACCTCTGGTGGCAACAAAGTATTCCTGCAGGGCCTCTCGCATTCACTGTTGAGGTTGTGAGTCGTTAAGGTTGTGAGCAAAGTCAGCCTGGGTCCACAGACTGGTTGACTCCTTTGGTCTTCTGTAATGATGGCGTGACCCAGAAACACTGATGAAACTGGAGCTTTGTCCTAGCAGAGGGACTCATGATATAGGGCATCTGTCAAATGTGCTGTGACTTGATCATCTCTGGGGTTAGACTTTCTAATCTTAATTATTTAGGTCCAGCATTGACATGTTCTGCAGGTCATTCCTTTCTGTGTTTCCAGTCAAAAGCCAGCAGATCACACCGGCCACAAGGGAGGCCCGGCCAAAAACCAGGACCCTGAATGTGGTGCTGCCATCCAAGCCAGCAGAGCCTTCTACGCCCGCTCTTCAGAGACACAGCAGCCATGGCCCTGGCCTCACCCAGGTGTCCACCCCCATTCCACGCCCCAGAGTGCATGGACCCTCCAGTACCCCTGTTTCCCCTGGGCCTGGGCTGAGGTGAGCGCTAGACTTTGCCCTTTTGTAGGGTCTGAGGTGATGATCTCTGGCCTCAGGAAGCCTGTCCTGGACCCTTACAGAGCTCTGCATTACAAGGGAGGGTCAGGACAGACATGAATATAGAAAGTACCTCAGGTAGTGTTCAACCTGAGCCTCTGAGAGGAGACTGGGGATCCTTCACTCACAGTCCAGGCAGACCCACCCTCCCCTTCCCATCTCTTCATCCACCCCTGGCTACAGAGGAAGAGTGGGGCCTCAGGTCCTCTTGGCTTTATATGTCGCCTGAGAGAGGAAAGAGGGCTGGCATGGGGCTAGCCAAAAATCCAAAGTCTGGCTTTAAATTTTTTCTTTCTGGCCTGTGTTCCTTTCATTTCGTCTTCACAGCAGCACCCCCCCTTTTAGTTCTGAAGAGGAACCAGAAGAAGACCTTGTGCAACGTGTGTCTCTCCAGCCCCCTAAAGTTCTTCCCAGGTCTGCACCCCAGACGGAGAACAGCTGGGGCTGGTCTGATTCTGAGACCTCAGAGGAGAGTGTCCAGCCCCCTGGCAAGGGCTCAGGTGGGCTGGCTTCCTCAGGTGAGTGCTTCTCCGGCCCTAGTTTCTCTGTGTCCTGGAAAACCCTTCAGCTTCTTCCCGGGAGTTCTGAGCTGGCATTTCTTCTCTGTCTCAGAAATGCCAGGAGGAAATCAGACCTGGGTGAGGGTTATTTTGCCCGTTTCTGTTATGTAAATGTTGGAGGTTTGGGGACCCCCCCTTCCCTTACTCCTTTTGTCTAGTAGAGTAGGCCATCTAAGGAATAGATTCCTTTGGGGTCTATATGGGAGAAGTAGATGGTAGCTGGAAGTCCTGAGTGTGTCTCTACCAACAGCCTTTAGGCAACACCAGCATTGTATCTGTGTAGCAAAGTTCTTTGCCATTTTCTTCAGTGACAGGTAGGGATGCAACTTGTTGATGAACAGGGCTTTGTAGAGACTTAAGCTAAGGGTTTGGTCAATTGGATTGAATTATTCTTTAAACTCACCATGCTCTGTTTACTAGGTCATTAAAATGATGACCTAGTCACAGTCACAGGTGACTGTGAGCTGACATAGTAATCAAATTCAGGTCGTCCGCAAATGAGGTAGACACTCTTAACCACTGAGCCATCTTTCCAGTCCCAGTAAACACAATGATCAGTCATCCAAGGGCTGTTACAGCTGTAAAAGTCTGCTAAGTTCTTAGCATTTGAATCCAGAGGGCCTTGTGATGGATGTTCTTGCTATGCTTCTCTGTCATCTTGGTTTACCATGAGTCAGGGGCCCATTGATGATCTGAGTTACTGATTAACTCCTGCTTCCTGCATGGAATTCATAGGAAATCGTGCCTGCGATACTGATATTTGATCTCTGTGTTTATCTGTGGGTGGGGCTGTTGAAGGAAGACGTAGGAGTCACTTTTACATTACTGTGACTAAAATATCCAAGAACAGCTTAAAGGGAGCAATTATTTATTTTGGTGCATGGTTTCCCACATCTCAGCCCATTATTGTAGGGGGTCTATGGAGCAGATTACATCCTGGCAGACAGGAATCCAGAGAAAGGGACACAGGAAAAAGGCCAGGACGTGCTCACAGTAACCTACATCTTCCAGCTAAGCCCCACAATCTACCTTCTACCCACACCTTCAAAATGTCACCCCAGTATGTATCTATCAAGGGATCAGTCCACTGATTATATCAGCCCTGGTGACCTTCGATAATGTCTCTACTAATTCCCAATCCAATCAAGTTGACATAATTAACTGTCACACATTGCCTGGGCGCACATCTGTCTTTGTACTTCATGAATTAAACAGAAGGCCCGTCAGATTCATTAGCAGGACAGTCTTCCTAAGGCTCCACCAGCGGTCTTGTCATAAGCCAGCAGTTGTGACATCTTATATATTTTTACTTATTTATTTTTTAATTATCAAAGCATTTTAAGCCTCTTATAAACGAGCTAGTGTCAGCCTGGACCTTCTCTGTCTCCCTTTCCCCCTTTGGGAGAGAGGAGGTGATAATTCTACTTTCTTCCTCTTGACTCTCTCTCTACCCCATCTGTCCACTTTGGAGTTTAGATATGGCCCAAAGGGATGAAGCCTTCATTTCCCAGGTGTGTCCCACTGACATGGCTACTTGTCCCCCTTTCAGGAACACTGGTGCAGTCGATGGTCAAAAACCTCGAGAAGCAGCTTGAAACGCCAGTAAAGAAGCCCTCTGGAGGGGTCAGTGTGTTCTTAAGGCCCAACGCTGCCCTTCAGAAGTCTTCCACACCTGCAAGGAAGTCTCAGGTAGGACACTTGAAGATGACCCTACATCCCATAGAGAGACAGATCCAAATTTGAGGGCTCTGGGGTGAAGATTGGGGACAGACTGAGCAAGTATCAGCTTTGACATGTCCCCAGAAGGACATTGCATGTGACATTGTCTCCTTTGCCCCTATATATGTGGAAAGATGACCACTTTGGATTTTTTTTTCTGTGCCCATGTTAATGTTAAAAAGCCCTTTAGTTCATTATGTAAGTACTTTCTGAGGAGGTTTGTTTCCTAATCTGCCTCTGAGAGCCTCCTGTTGTGGCTGCTATTTTCCCATGCTGTCTCTCCATACTGGGCCCCTCCCCAGCAATTACTTCACAGAAGACCTCAACAGAGGACAGGATATAAAGCACCGGCCACCATCAGAGTGGGGCCACACAGCACATCAGATGGGGAAATGTAGATAGCTGTGTTCCAACTATTCAAGATGGCGGGTGCCTCACCTCTCACTGCATATCTTGGTGGCCTGGCCTCCCTGACGCTGTAGCTGCCATGGGATTTGCAGACTTGGTACTCACATGAGTGCCAGACTCTTTTTGCCATTGTCTCCCTCCATTAGGGACCAACTGCCACTTTCTGCTATTTTCTAAGGTAGGCAAGTATAGAACTCTTTGCACTTGGTTCCTTTCTACCAAAGAGGTCCATCTGGAGATGATGAGGTTGTTGGCCTTAGCAACAGAAGTAGCAGTGAGCAGTTGACTTTCTGGTGCCGCTGATGGAACCTGGCAAGCAGGCACTGTCACTGAGCAGTCCCCGTACCCCCTCACTTGTGTTTTATATTAGCACTCCTATATACCTTTTCTCATCACATGGTATGCTTGGCTTCTCTTGGAGTTTATGTAAAGAGCCCCAGGTTCTGTTCTCTACTGAGAAAGAGCACCAAATAGTGTAAATTAGACAGGTGCTGTCTAGGCCCTGGATGGTATCTTCTTTTCATGCCAGGATGAAATACATGGAATGTTATATGTCAAAGCCCAGGCAGTCAGCAGAGGAGCTGCAAACCCTGGATGGGAACTCCTGGCCTTGGCTATTACTGTGGTGTAGATGGAGCCTGATCTCTCAGAAGACGTTAGTTTGACCATTAGCTGCAGCTCAGACCTATTCCAGGATATCCTGTTGCCCCCATCTCCTCTCAAGTTCAGTGTTTCCCAGGCAGCTCTGAGCACCAGTCTGTGAGGAAAGGTTCTTTTGACTAAGGTGCATTCATGTCAAGAGTGTCAAAAGTTAAAGGCTCTGGGCTTCCAGTTCTGTCAATGTGAGGAATGAAAAATTTGCACATAATATTACCCCATCTACCTTTTTATTCCATACTGATTCAGTCTCATCACAGAGCGCATGTAAACATCTCCGAGCTCTTCCTCTTCTCTGTTGTGAGTGGGCACTAATAATCTAATGCAGATACATGATGCTGTGAACAAGCACACTGCCCAGGTTTAAATGCAAACATGAGTGGCCAGATCTACCTGTAAACCTCCCAGAGATTCTTAGTAGGATACCAGACCTGTTTCCATCACTGTGGCCCTGAGTCTCTGGAGCAGGTTTTCAGAGGCTGGGAGCTTGGAAGGCAGGACCATTTCTATCTTGGATGCTGCTGAACTCTGTCATCTTCCTGCATTTATCAAAATCTATTTTCTTCTCTTTTACCTCTGCAGCTTTCTGAGGATGAGAGTGACTTGGAGATCTCGTCCTTGGAAGATCTCTCCCAGGACCTGGACCAGAGAGGAAAGCCAAAGCCCTTGTCACACTCAAAGCTCCCAGAAAAGTTGGATGCCAGCCCTTGGAGCTCTGGGCGACCCAGGGTTCCTGGCTGGTGATTCTGCCTAGGGTTGCCAGAGGGCTTAGCCTTGTTGCCTGGCTGGGCTTGCCCCAATGGAAGAGGCTGTTAGGCCTCCTGCTCCCACCAGCAGCCAAGAAGCCTTTGCCATGAGCAGAGCAGGAGACAGACAGGACCTCTACCCATTCTCTCTGTAAGGACTGCTACCTCAGAGGTCTGGGTCCTGCTGCTATCCCATAAGGCTGGGTCCTGGAGCAGTGTCTTGTGTAAATGGGAGAAGGGTTGTAACAGGACCTCCAAGTGTTTCTTCCATGATTCCCATGTCCAGCCCAGACTTAAAGGAGTTGCTGTTTATAAGTCTTTTGTAATCTGCAGGTCACCATGGAGATGGGTCCTGAGTCAGTTATCAGTTACCTACTTCATGCTGGACTCTCTAGCCTTTTGTAATCTATAGGTCACCATGAAGATGGGTCCTGAGTCAGTTTCTCTACTCTGTGTTTGACTTTCACTACAGAGTTGGGGTGCAGACAGAGGCAGGTGGTGTGAAGTGTTTGCTGCCAGGCCAAACATCATATTCTAGTGCTGGACATTCAAGTGTTAGGGAGCATGGGAGAGGCTGCCTGTCCTAATTTCATTCCTGTTGCTGTGGTAAATCACTGTCCAAGAGCAACACAGAGGAGGAAAGGCTTTGATAGGTTTACAATTCCAGGTCACAGCCCATCACTGAGGGAGGCAGAGGCTGGAACCGGAAGGTAGGCCTGCTTGCTATTACCACGCAGCATTACCTCTGACCAAGGAATTCACTTCAGAGCCTAAGAAGCATAGCAGGAGCCATGGTGGGTACTGCTTGCTAACCGGCTCACAGCTGTGTATACTCAGCTTTTTTTATACAGTTCAGGACCGCCTGCCTAGGGATGGAACTGCTCACAGTGGGCCGGGTTCCCCTACATCCATGACAGTCGGGACAGTTCCTCACAGACATTGCCCTCAAAGCATTTACTCCACCGAAGCTCTGCTCTTGGACAGTTCTCAGTTGTGACACATTGATATTTAGAACTAACCAGGATACCATTCAACCAAGACCAGGATGACCTTGGAGAAGTTCCCAGACACCTGGTGGAGCTTGTTCATGGGCAGGAACAATTTGGACAAAGCCTCTTGTCCCCATAGAATCACAAATTTAACTTTTGAAACCAGTTCTGACATTGGGTTTTTATATATAGTTTTTTTTTTTTTTTCCAGACAGGGTTTCTCTGTGTAGTTCTGGCTGTCCTGAAACTCTCTCTCTATAGAGCAGGCTGGCCTTGAATTCAGTGGATCTGCTTGCCTCTGTCTCCTGAGTGCTGAGATTAAAGGTGTGCATGGTGGCACATGGCTGAGATTATTTTTTTAGTGTGAAAACATTTATTTATTATAGTGAGCATTTAAATAAAAAATGATGTATGCACCTCTCTGTTGTTCTTTCTTTCTTTATTTTTTTCAGGCTTTGTGGACTGAGGATGGTAAAGAGGGAGTGAAGCAGCTTCCATCTCAATAGTGCTGGTTTAGGGCCTTTGGATGAAGCGATCAAGCTGTAATAAGATAGCCAGCTTTGCTGAGGTACTTTACCTGGACAAGGTAAAGGCAGCCGAAATGGGATCTGGCAGAGTAAGGTTGTAGAGAACAATGCAAAGTGGAAGGAAAGAAGGAAAGAAAGAAGGAAGGAAGGAAGGAAGGAAAGAAGGAAGGAAAGAAGGAAAGAAGGAAGGAAGGAAAGAAGGAAGGAAAGAAGGAAAGAAGGAAGGAAGGAAAGAAGGAAGGAAAGAAGGAAAGAAGGAAGGAAGGAAAGAAGGAAGGAAAGAAGGAAAGAAGGAAGGAAAGAAGGAAAGAAGGAAGGAAAGAAGGAAAGAAGGAAGGAAAGAAGGAAAGAAGGAAGGAAGGAA